AATAGGACTAGAAGGATATTTTTAGAACGCTTATCGCCTTATAATAAAAGTTTGCACCGATCCCGTCGATTGAAAGTTTGATTAGAATAGAGATAAACACCTTATTGCAAACTCTGCCCGGTTTAGTTTCCATGGATAGAGGAGATAGGTTGAAATAATATTTTTAAGCTTTTACAAATATGGGTCTGAATATAGAGTGGGTTGAAGACAGCTAGGTCCGTGTACATCACTCTCCTAAGATACAAACTACTAGATATGGGGGCCGTCGAAGATCGCTTTTAGAAGTTCGGGTTCAAAGAGAGTGAACTAGCTTTGCCGAGCAATCATAGCGTCTTTTGACTTAGAAAACCCTCTGGTCGACAGCCCGGTGTCTTAGACATGAGCCTGATTCATTCCTCAAGGTTTCATTTAATTTCATTTCAGCTATGGTCACTTCAATTTATTGGGGGGAAATCGGGTTCGCACTTTTAAGCTTACCCTCTTTTACATGTGGCCGAAATATATCAAGATATTTTAAAAAGGGAACATCCAACAACTCCTACGCCAATATTGAAAAAGAGGACACTGTTATTACATTGGAAGTAATATGATCTCTGGTCTACAATTGTCCTTAGAAATTTCAGCGATAAGGTGTACTGGGTGACTGTTTACGCGAAAAAAACGATATAGGGCCCGACTGAAAAAGTCTCATGACTTGACAATAGATGCAGATTAGATAAGTGAAAAGAAAACGTACACGGATCATAGTGCAACTTTGATAGGGAATCACGGAGAACCGCACTTCGGACGCCACGTTATTGATTATTTTTTGATACTGAATACTATCCAATCCACTGCGTGAACGCTTCGGATAAGCCGAGACAAGCAACGCAGCTCGGAATGCAAGTTACTCTTCATTAAAAGGCCATCGACAAAAACATTACTTATCTTCGCTCTTTGAGGCTAAATCACCCCTGAACAATGCTCAAGTGCGCTTATTGAGTTGAAGAATCACAGCCCTAAATATTGATTGTTGTTTCAGCCTGATAAGTCTAAGAAAGAGAAGGTACAAGTCAAATAGGATGTCAAAAGCGATCACTGTTTTAAATGTAGCAAGTAATCACTTCAGAGCTGTTGAACGCACCCGAAATGAACAAGACTATCGAGGGTTGTTAAGGCTGAGAAGGTTTAACCCTAACGGCTGCGATCGTCCAGACCCAGTTACTTACGAGGCAGAAGAAGTCACGGGATAGCCAGAGTGGTAGGAAGAGTATATTCTGTACAGAGTAAATGGGAGAATAGGCAGTAGGAAATTGACTATCAGACTTTCGTACAACCACAAGCCAGCGGACGGCGTCTGAAGTGATGTCTGCTCGGAAATCGTCACATGAAGTCCTGTGTGAATCGGCCTGTGAATGACTGTTTCAGAGGCCGGAAGCAGCAAGCGTTCCAAAAATTCACTTCGACCTAAGTCACGACAAGCCTTCACAAGTGAACTTCGTGTGCGGCTTGTCACTAAACGACTGTGCGAGCACTACGGTCTGGAGAATCGGGCTTAACTTTAAATGATCAAGAAATTATTTGTTGCAATAACAGTGACGTCAGTATCAGAAGTTCCTGTACAAAAAGGTGAACTCCTAAGCGATCAGAACCCACACGTCGTGGAATTGAACAAACTGCACCTTGTTTGCGGTTTTTTTCCCAAAAAGGTTAATTTTTCTGAAATTGGTTTTTAAACAGTGGGGATCAGCTTAAGGAGGAAAATGTGTGAGCACAGTAATTAAAACGGAATACAAACACTAAGTTGTGTAGGCTCCTAAAGAACTTTTAATTAGCAAAAGCTTAAATAGACTCGTTTTCACAAATGCTTTCAGCCTAATAAACAGAGAACCGCCGATGGCTTAAAGGTTAATCAGGAGGCCGTTAAAACCATTAGTTTATTTGTTTGAACTTCCATGCTTGTATGGAGGTTCAATAACAATTGTGTAAAAACGGTCTGTGTCTAGTCTACGCGTGTGATTACGACAGTTCGACCGTCGTTTTATACGATGGTTACCGTGGGTCCCACGGGGGTGTACGCAGGGGGAAATGACTTGCGCAGCATCCCCCGCACTGTCTCCTCTCTCTCTCATCCACCTGGGCCCGAGTTCACGACCAAATCACAAAAATCAGAGTCAAGATAGGACTAACTTAGTCCGCGCGGTCTCAGTCGGCG